CTCATCTCAATAAAAGACCAAATGGAACAGGAAATAGAAAGAAGAGTTACAAGTGCATGGAAAAGATACTGGTCATTGAAAACTATAATGAAAAGCAAACAATACCCCATTAACTTAAAAAAGAAAGTTTTTAATACCTGTATCTTACCAATACTAACATACGGATGCCAAACATGGGCAATGACCAGGAAAAATATGCAAAAACTGGTAACATGCCAAAGGAGTATGGAGAGAAGCATGTTGGGTTATAACAGGAGAGATAGAAAGAGAGCGATGGACATAAGAATTCTCACAGGTTGGGATGAAGTTACAACTAAAATAAAAAGGTTGAAGTGGAAATGGACAGGTCACACACTAAGGGGAGATATGAGATGGACGAAAACTGTAACTGAGTGGATTCCCCGTCATAAAACGAAACGAAAAAGAGGAAGACAGTACAAGAGATGGTCTGATGACCTTAGAAAGATTGCCGGCCCACTGTGGCTCCGATTGGCAAAAGATAGGAACACATGGAAAACGCTGGAGGAGGCCTTTGTGTCTAAAGGACACGTTGACTCAGAGACTGATGTGCAGAATTAGATGTAACATAAAATGTATATATAAGTAACTAATATTTCTTCTATATTTTAAACTTGTAATCAAATATTATGATAGATTGTATTATTTTGTGTCAATTAATAAAGGCTTTGAATTTGAATTTGAATTTGAATTTGAACTATATGATTTGATTATAAAGATGCCTGTAAATGAATGAAAATCTGGACAGATTTGAATTGAATTTGGTACGCAGATAAACCATATGCAAAGGATAATTTTCACGCATCCCACGGACAGTTAACAATCATTTCACTAATAATCTCTAAATATTTCTTTATTATATAGATCTTTAGTATTAATTTCAAATCAATACATACAACATCAATATGTAATTGAAATAGATTTTGCATCATACCGCAGAATAAAAACTATTTATCAATAGGAAATTTTATATAGGTATCTATACAAAAAAATATGATACAGAGGCCATATAGATAGGCAGTTGACATAGGTACTTAATTACAATAACAAGTGTAATTCTGTGCCAATACCTATCTACATAACATTCTACTATATCACCAAGCCCTGTGGCATTCTATCCTATCTATCCTGTGCCATTCTACTATATCCTTTCTTCTACTAATTACATAACACCACTATTATTTTGTTAAACAATAAATTTGTCTCCGATTTCTTTATCTACTTTTAATTTCACAACTGTGAACAGTTTGTCTAAATTTAATTTAAATTAATGTTAGATCACTGAGTTGATACATTATGGTTAAACCGTTAATAATTGAAAAATTATTCTAATTAACATGTATGTCTACTATTATTAAAATAATAATATTGTATAAATGTACAATAAATATTATCCTAAGGTTGACTGTTAATGTTTGAATGTGGCAAATGGTTTTGTTAACATTTAATATAACCATAGATAAGATAATTAAGATACTAAATATAAAAAAATACCTGAATGTATGATTCCATTGCAGAAAAAAAAATTGTTTACAAAGTGAAATATTAAAAAAGTTGCTTGAAAGAACTCTGAGCCTACACACAACTGCCTGTCGAAATAATAACTCTGAAACCTCCAAATACTTACCAAGTAATGCAAAACACTGATGATATACAAACAAATCGTTGCAGGATGTTTGTTTGTACCATTAGGTATTAATAAGCCGTTGGAGGCAATTTATGAGTTTAGGTCATCGTAGAGGACACCGTTATCACACAAATAAGACAAACAAAACCGCAGGGGGCCACTTACATCCTTATCAACGCTGCTCTTGTTGCTAAGATCAAGGGGCGCAGTAGTGTCGATGGGCCAGCCATCGGAAAATACTGCCAGTTCTTTCGACATTTATATTATAATTTTCTTATATTTTTTTGCCTTTTTCGTGCATATAGCAAAATTTCTAGCATTTTCACTGTATTATATAAGCGTATTACAGGAGTGTAATCCACATAATATCAGACGTAAGATTTTGTAAGTTTATTATTATGTGTGCACTATGCGTATCACAAGTTCACAACTTTATTCTACAAGGTCAGCAGCTCATTTTGTAGTAATACTTAAACATGTCATTTGGACTACTATTGAATTATTAATTAAAAGCACACAAGAAATATAACAACATAATGGTATTCATTAATTTTGTAAAAAAAAAACAATAAATAAATATACAATAGATGAAAACAAATAGCTCCAATTTATAAATGTAATAATGTTATGTCAGTTGCGGTGTCATTGTCAGTTTTGACGTAAAATTTGACGTGACGTGAATGTTTGTGATAAATAAATCTTTGACTTTGCCTAGTCAGTACTAGGCAAACCGAGGAAAAAAAAATAAACAGACACAACTTTTTAAAGGATGATAATGGAATAGTGCACCCGCCTGCGCTAACGGTACGAACATGAATAGCAGAATGGGCATCCCATCATCATGTGACGTAGTACCTACTTATCCAAAACAATAAGAGCCTGACATATTCTTTGAGTCCGACGTCGGCTATAGAGATTTACAGACATACAGACATTATATTTTTTGCTATATGTTGCCGAATCCTAAAAGAAATATCCATGTATATGGATTATTTGTAGATACACTTAGTCCCCGAGCCAGACTAAAATTTTGCCAATTACTGTATCTCTAATTTTATCTAATTGTATTTTCATCAGTAGTACTTAATCATATGTAATAAAATTATAAAATATAAAAATAATAAACGATATCGAGTGGAAAGGAAGGGTCATTTCAATCAATGAAGTCTAGTCGGTAGTAAGTTGAGGAACACCACTCTTGCAAACACAAAGAAGTCATTTTCTCTAGGCTCGAATTGTTATCAAATTATAGTTAAACTTAATCTTGGGGAAAAAATGATAGCTGGGTGTAACATGCTAAGTTAGGTGATAGCAAGAACACGTAACAAACATAATTATAATATAAATAACTTATGCATTTGACAAATTAAAGTCTGAGGAAATTGGTCATCAGAATCTGTTCCTGGCTCGTGGGCCGTTACTTACAAAAGTTTATTCTCAGTGATGACACTAACTCTCAATATACCTAATGAGGTTATCATAATAAGATTGGGGCTATCTTTCACAAGCCCCCTTGGGGTGAGATACGTATCACGCGATGTGCGTGTGCCACCCGCCAGCAGAGGGTTATCGACTTATACTTACGCACATTGTGTATTTTGTTTTAACAAATATTGACAAATACATTGATGACTTAAGTAAATGACTGACGTCTTATCTGTGAGAGACTTTGTATAAAGTTGTCTGCTTGGGTAGATAGCTCTGTCTCATGGCAAACAATCAGAAAGCGTACCTAACAATAATCGCTTATATATTTATATAAGAAACGGAGAAGGAAATTGTTATTAATGTGAATTGATATCCCCATGCTAGCTAATGTAGTTCATTACATTAGATTTACCTGGAAAACGTCATGTTAGATTAGCTGTTGTTAATTAGATTTCTGGTGAATTTGCCACTATGGGCCACCGATCTGACGTCATTCCATTTTATCATGTTCCACTGGTGCCCCACCAGCATATACCGTTAGCGTCGGCAGGTGCACTATTCCATTATATATACATGAGCACCACTTACACGCGTCATAGTATGCGTGGCACCAATGATTCGGTGCTACACCGGACTAAGATGCACTGCCTCTGTATCCTGTAATTTCACTTTTTTTAACCTCACTCTTCAAATGAAACACATACTTATTTCAAAGCAAGTTACATATGATGATGGGATGAGGGTGAGTTGGGTCCGTTAGGTTAGATTTCATCTAAAGTCTTTTACTTCATCTTAAAGCTGCTTATGCAAGCATTGATGAAATGTCTTCCTAGACAGAGAATGGTACATTTGAAACTTATTGTATTGAGAAAGTAAGTCTTAATACCCAAATGACAAATCTGATGCACTGTTCTAATCTGTTTGGATAACTCGATAATAAATTAATGTAGATATATAGCTTTTAATATGGATCAGAAATATATAACAAGAATTACCAGCCCTAAATCAGGCATTAGCGTATTCAGACAGTTCTTAGTCTCCTTGTATGTTCTTTACTCCTATAATGGATTGTGTTATGAGGAAGTGATCAGATTAAATTACTGAATTTTCTCGATTCCGCTTAATCCCCACTCACGTACCAACAAGTTTTCCATCAACTATCATCAAATCTTATAGGTTCTTGATTTCATTGTAACGAGTTAGTTATCGTATATACACTACTATATACTTTCGCGACTGTAATTTAAGAATGGTAGTCAATCATGAGGACTGGTGGTCATTGTAGAGAAAGTAATGATGTTCCTAATCAACTTCATTCTCATTATTCTGATTTCATTTTTCTCCACTGGTGACCAAGCTAAATCTTTTTATCATCTATTAAAAAATAATGTCTAAATACAGGAATATAAATAAGTCCACATCTACTTCCAACATTCTGGGTGGAAGGAAGGTAGGTTCTAAAAGTATTAGATAGAAATGTGATGGGGTGGAGACAGGGGCGGATCGTCAATTTGTGGGGTCCTGTACCAAAACTATTTAGGGGCCTACCTAATTTTATTACTCAACTAAAAAAATACACCGACCAAAAACAAGCGACGGAGAATTCTCTGTTTCACACGACGGCACATGCATGGGTCGATTAATCTCAGGGTTGATAGGCTAACTTAATGCTTATCATCTTATATCAGTGCTTTGCCAGCGTATACCGTTAGCGTAGGCGGTGTATCATTCCATATTAATGTATAAACACTCTTTTAATAATCTCATAACTATTTTCTAGCCACCAACGGCTCTAAGTAAGGTACATTTTAGAGGATTCTTAAAGAAATCATCTTACATCTGTCTGTGTGCATCATAAAACCAGGTATTATAAGATTATAGTTACAAGTTGTAATATGTAAATAAAAGACTCGTTTATTATTTTAACTTATTTATTCTACGTACTTCCACAAAATTACACAAAATGAGTGCATCATGAAACTTACAATTTACCTGTAATAAATCATGTTTGTTTCGCATCGTCAAATACATATAAATATGAAAATATATATATGGTATAATAATAATGTCTTTACAAAATGATTAATCACAGTAGGTGTATATTAAAATATTAATAATTAGGGAATGATTAATTTTAAAGTAAACAGTATACAAGGAAGTTCATAAATCTATATTCAAGTCAATATAATTTTGTAATCTCGTCTAGACACCGTCAAAGAACATTAACTCCTATGGAGCACGAAGGCACAATAGTTAAGTACTTATGTTTGAAGAATTTACAATTCTAACAAGTGTACTGTTTAAAAGAAAAAAAAATTTGAGGTATTGGCACAATCATTATGACTGATAAATTAATGGAATGCTTAAATATTATAAAATATTATTTTAAATGTAACAGAATGCTATGTAAAACTTATATATATATATGCATAAATAAAAAAGAAACATTTTAATATCAACATTTAAAAAAACAGCACAAATATAATTACAATCCAAAAGGGAATGACTTCGGAATGATTTTTATTCAGGTAAGTAAATACCTATTACTTAATATTAAACGCTAAATCTTTTACAGATTAATAAAAGGTACATAGTTTTGTATACTATTTGAGATTTTGTATTAATTACGGTAATGAGAAGTAAGTCCTCTATTAGGTAGCTAGATTCAATCCTACATCATTACAACACTAAGTATATACCTATGAATATTGGAAGATACTTCACGTTGGGAATGTCATTATTACAAACTTTTTTATGTAAATGGAATGGTAAAGTTAGTGGTAAGTTATAACCGTCCAACAGCACCACGGTCATCACGTTTTGTAACGCCCGTGATACCACTCATGCGTTGTTATTCGGGAGAGTAAGATATGTATTAATATCTAGTTATTCCACTGCTTTATGTCTTATGTTACCCTCCATCCGAAAAATAGATATCAAAAAATGCTGTATGGTTGGTAATATATTTGTGAAACTATATTTAATTCTTCGATACAAAGTATGCATATTTTGTCAACAATGTTGACTATTTAACGCTCCAAAACAAAAGTATTAATATACTAAAATTACTAGAAAGCAGATAGTAAAAAATAGTGATTTAATTGGCGTTAATATAAATATGACCTACTTATAATTTTAATAAAATAACGTACCGCAGAACAAATTGGCACAATAAGCTATTAACATTGGCCATGCTTATTATAGACTAGCTAACAATAATTCTTGTAATAGTTACATAAAATCTCGACTAAAAGCATATCTTAACGTCAATCGTTCGTTCCATTCTGAAAGCTTGCATACATCAATGTATGACTCGGCTTACATGTGCCTCGTGTTGCCAAAATTAATGCCACTCTGCGTGGCACCTTTGTTGGACCCGTACTGCAGCGAGATGACGCCCTGTCCAGCTCTCAGCTGTTCTTCTGTGAAATTTCTCACGTTCTTCTCGGCTTCCTTGGGCCCTATTGAGGGCTTTCCAAAGTTGCCAGCCTGAAATTATACATATTATACGTTATTTTAAAGCAGGTAATTGTAATAGGTATTATTTTCTATTTGTGAATTATAAAATTCAGGCTTTATCACATGGCTGCTTCCGTGGTTTACTCATGTGTCACTGTAGGAAAACATAGCTGATAAAATATAAAATGGTGAAATATTTTTACGATCTTTAACAATAAGCAAAGAAAGAAACGTACGTAAAATGATCACCGGCTTATTTCCGATGATCGCGGGTTCGATATCCCGGAATATACAGACATTTGTATTCATGAGTGTGACTATATGTAGTGGTCTGGATGATTTCTAATATAAATTAATAATATAAGAAGCCAATCAAAATAAAATCTAACAATACTAAGTACAGCGTTACTTCATTTAGTCATCGCCTATAACTATGACTACAGAACTATAAAATTCTAAGAACAATTAACAAATTAAGTAATATAATGCACCTATACTCATAACGCTCATGGTATTCCTGTCTAATGTGTTGCCATTCATGAAAAGTAAGGGGTAGGTATATTTTTTTACCATATTTCAATACTTTAAATTATAGACTTATTCTCTTTGACTATCTCACGCTTTAAATATTTGACAATAATCATCTCCACTCCTTTAAACATTGAAAAAAAAAACGTACCTTTCTGCCCAAAGACTGCAAACAGATGACAACGGAGTTTAAGTTCTGTCTTTCCCAAAGGTCAACAGTTTGGAAGGTTTCTTGTGCCGGTACACCAAGTTGTCTTGCAGCTTCAAGAAAAGCGTTAATGTTCTCCATACATTTAAACGCCATTTTGGACTCGTTGACCTTCTTCACCAGCCCTGGTTGAATGTTGTTCACTAATCTATAACGAATGAAAAAATAATAATTAGTATAAATGTAGTTTTGACATAAACACTACTTGTATATAACAAAGTACATAATTCTGTAATCCTTATAGAGTATAAAAGGAATACTAATACTATAGATTACGGAACCGGACTTTTCCCGTCATCATCTTCTTTTTTGTGTATCTACAGAGACAGAGAAAGTATATAATGGGTCTTGAATTCATTCTGCCTTGAGGATATGGTAAAACACAACTGGAAAAACAAGGTTTGGCTGTAGAACAAAGAGCTCAGGAATTAGTTCTCGAAAGAGCGATCAGGTGCGTGGCAATTTAGGGTAAACCCCTTACTTATAACATATATAGAGTATCTATTATACTACTTCACTATCTACGTTACGTACTGGTTATTCTATAAATTCATATTGTGGTACTAATTACTTTTGCTCTCAGATGATGCGATATACAAAGATACCTTGCAAGAATATGGATTGGACGCCGGGACGTAATTTGGTATAACTGTTTCAGCTTGCATATTGTGACATTCTGTCTTATTTAGTAAATAATTATATATTATTTTCATAAACTTACTTGCACAGCAACGTGCCATCCTTTAGGACATCATAGAAGTTGTCCATATCCCCGGAAGTATTTTCAGGCGCATTTGTGATCTGCTGGATCCAGATCAGGCATTCTTGGGCCAGCTCCTCACTGTATTTACTGTTGATCTGAAAATAAAGACAAAGGCTTCTTGAGTGAAACTTAAAAATGTAAAGAATGACAGTAAAAAGTACGACATATCCTAACAAAAGTTCTCTCCCCATTACTGTTTATCCGTAAGAGAGGTAATATGATAACGACTACAGATAAAAGTATTCTAAAAGCTAGTAATGATCTATGGACTACATAGATCATTACTAGCTTTTAGAATAGCACCTATTCATACCGGTCGTTTTTGGTACCCCTTTAAATAAAGACAGTTTACAATACTTGATATTGTATCAACCTTTTAGTTTCTTTTGAGGATTACTTTTAATTCAAAAGATTTAGTCTCATATGGCACAGTCACTTTAATTTTATAATCATAAAAAAAATACACCAAAGTTAATTTTTTTTTTATAACAAGCATAGAATTCAAATATTGTAATGCATCCGTGATAGACGGGAAGAGTCGCTGGTATAATATAAAACAACAATATCGATTAGAATCGGAAACACTTCATAAATACGTGGCTCCACGTATATTGTAATACAGATACTACGAATCAATTGGTCGTGGTAATAAACGGAATTAGTTACTCACGCTTAGAGCTGTTGATACTTTGTTGAATAACGTGCTAAAATAAAATATGGAATAATACCACGGGTCATAATTTAAGAGAACACTCATTTATTGACTATATTACGGTTAGTTAGAAATATTCACTGAATATTCTTGATATTTGTAGGTTGAGCCGATACGTTTGTAATTTGAATGTTTTTAAATATATGGTATACCATCAATTTTTTTTAATTGAACACTTTGAAGGCCCGTCTGTTGGTAAGTGGTACCCGTCGCCTATACATGTACATGTATTCTATAACGTTATCATCCGGTTTCCATTTCGGAGGACTAAGATCGTACCTTTCAATTTAATTACGATAACTGAAACACAGATTACAGATTACAAAACAATAACATGCAAGAGAAATAGGTAAGACAGAGGTAGATGACTCTGTACAAAATGTACCGCGTTAATGCACGCGAATTACCGCATATTGTTTTAAAGATCAAGCTTACACTGTTTTCTTTGAAATATATACTGCAGCAAGGTTAACTGTCCCGTCTGTAATATATGGGGGAACGTACACATATAATAAAAACGTAATCGATCGCCGGCTGTACATAAAATATATAGGTACGAGATAAACTATATTTTAAGTGAAGTTTACCGCAATATATTAATGACCGTGATAAATAAAACCACACGACCACACCTAAAACGGTAAAGCCGTATTTTAGTTTAGCGATCAGAAACGCAAAATAATTTAATAACATTTGTAAAGGTAAAGCCATCCAATACTTATTTCATAATTCTTCCATGTACAGAAAACGATCAGTTACATTTTAAATATTATATGTATACATATATAGATACTGTAGAAGGTCAACTATTCTGTCTGTAAAATATGGGGGGATATATATATACATATAGTATGGATAAAGTACATAAATATAAGTTGTTTCTATAAAGACGTTCATTCATTTAGGTTATCGGGACAATGTAAACGTTGTTTGCATACAGACGACCTAGTCTGCAGTCACATTTGATACAATACTTCTTGTACAAGATATTAAATAAAAACTACATTATTATTAATGAATGTTAAATGCAATAACACAACTTAGTCTTTTGATGACGTTACATATGATTTATTTATATAATGATTCGTTTTCAATAAAACGGCATTTTAAATACAAGGTGTATTTAAAATAGCCATCTAATAACCTACCTTAGGTTCAATTATATTAATACAATTAAACAAAAGGAATAAAATTAGGAATTGTAAATTCTATCTCTTGTTTAATACTTGGTTTAATTTTTTATTTCCAAAATAAGAACATGTTAGGTACATGTTGAGAATATATGTCACTGAAATAAAACTGCTTCTTTTAATATATGGTAAATGGTACTGAAATAGTGCATTTGCAAAGGTAGGTATACGCTGGTGGGATACCCCTGTAGTATGATAAGATGAGGTCTTTTTTTTATGTATGATAATGAAATGCTGCTCCCGCCTGCGTTAACGGTTTACGCTGGCGGGGCACCAGTGGAGGATGATAAGATGAATATGAGGCCAGGTCAGATAGCCCATCGTGACAAATTCACTAGGAATTTATCACGATGGTTTCCAGGAGAAACCGCGTGGAGGTCGACCTAATATGATACATTGCTAGCAATGGGAATTATTAGTTCCCATTACGAATAATTCCCTTCCTCCAGATAAGATGAGGTCAGGTCAGGTAGGCCAACGAGACAAATTCGCCAGGAACAAAACCACGATAGTTTTCCGGACACACCCTTCGTCTAAAAATGGGGTAACTAACTCAGCCGACAATTTTATTATCAAATAAATATAACAGTAGATTTAAGCACATTTAGGTGTGGCCGTGGTGGCCCTTGACCAACCCAAACCGATAAAGTGTATGTATATGTAGATGTCGATGTAGTCTATACACAAAAGAATTCAGACTATATAGAAGGTAACCGTTTACAGATCAGGCGATATTGAAATGTTTAATTTAGTTTAGGTTATAGTAAACAGAATTATCGATTGATATTCGATATACATACATTTGAATTTAATTGACAATTGTCAAACTTGACAAAAGTAATCGTATACCTCTCGGAAATGTAGATATTTTAATAATCTAAAAAAAATATATAATTGTTGGAGATTTTCATAAAATGTGGTAGTGGTTATGTATTTATTGTAATAATTATTCTAATATTTAAGTTAAGCATTAGCTTTAGTTAAGTTAAGCCATTTGTGAGTTTTCAATTGTAATAAGGCTTTATATGGACAAAGTTTCAAGTGCAATGTTTCCAAGTAATCTGAAAATATAGCCCTTACGTTGGTGTGACTGCTTATTATTTTATTAGGTGGAAAATGTGCAATTAGGTTTAGGAATGTAATCATTAATTGATGGTAGAGCAAGTTTCTGACTGCTATGCAGTTATAGTGTTGAGATTGAGGCATCCTAACAATATTATTTTTAAAGCTTATTTCCATTTTCAACTAATATTATTGTAGCGTATAGAAATTTTAATGAACTTAGTATTTTAGTCTTTCAGGACAATTGTTTAAACTTCATCCGGGAGCCTCCATAACTGTGTGTACGGCGTATACGTTACAGAATCAATAGTTCACTAATATACTTACATAGTTATAGAAACGCCCCACATTTATTATACACATGCAAATCTTTCTAGTAACTAATAGTATGGGCCTATTCCATACAGACGCATACGCTTATATGCAATAGGTATGGACCATTATTTCTAATTAAGTCTTTTTACGACTTGTCAACGCGGAACACGTTTACAGTGACAGTGTAAACATACATAAACCCATTATATATTTACTTTATTTCTATATAATGTAGCTATTATCTATAGAGTGCAATGTTTAAGAGAATAATGCTTGATAGAGATTGTGCAAATGTATATAGTACTGTTAATTTCTATGTATATTATACTAGCTAACCGGGTATACATGTATTGTAAATATAGACTTTCCTCTTAAATTACTGTATCTATTGCTAGAAATGCATTAAAATCCGTTGCCCAGTTTAAAAGATCTTAGCGAACAAACAGCGGAACTGACTTTATTTTATACTATGTAAAGAAGTGAATTAAAAAAAAACTATCTAATTCTTTCTATCAATTGTCGAGTATCTACAACACGACCTATGCTTAGCTTGAGGTTAGATGGCGCTGTGTGGATTCTTCAAGGTTATTATAATTATAAGTGCAATGTTTAAGAGAATAATGACTAGACAGGCTTGTGAAAAGTACACACACTGTCATTTATAGACTGTGAGAAAGTGTTTCTCCGTTAATCTTTTTGAGTTTCTACAATAAACAAATTCATGTTTTATTATTTTTATACGAGTATATACACATCTTGAGAAGATATTTAGTTACAGGTCATCCATAATATAAATGTGTCTGCCTGTCTGTTAGCTTGTTGTCTTTTTAAGAAAACTGTAGTGTGTAGCAGCTATATAATTATGTATATGTATATGAATTCATCTCCCCGTTACTTCGCGTAATTAAATAATATTGAAGAGTCGGAGCAAAAAAGAAAAATCTATTAATTATCCAATAATGATATATTATGTATTATGTATATTATACAATTGAACATAAAAGTAAACAGAACACAAATTTTTAATGTGTCTTTATAAATTGTATATGTAATTAATTTGTCACATTATATGGTATTATAATGTGCTAGTAGTTACTACAACTAGTTCACAAGTCTCGCAGGTGTTAAAATTAATAGCTTTTAAAACTAATACCTATTAGAAATAAATTAGGGAAAAATATTATATGTAACCAAATACTAATTTTGTAATAGCACAGATATCGTAATAGTAATAGTAAATCAAAGTTAAAGAAGGGCTTGTAGTTTATTTATGGTTATATTGAAAAATAATAAAAAAAATATGTTTTTATTCGCCAACAAACCGTTAAGCAATTTAGCGATAACTGTATAGAAGAAAACTTATGTAATTTTTTGTTCAATAATTATAGTAAATAAAAAGAATTGTACATTTCAATATAGTATAACAATAGAATATTGTATTGGCGTTAAGACATATATGAAATGCTGAGGTAGATATTGTAAAAAGTCCTCAGACGTCAACAAACACCTCCATTTTCAGAGGGCAGACAGCTTGCTTTTTAAGATTGTGTTGAAGGGCGAGATAAGGTAGTGAAAATACAGTATAAACATCTTAGTCCTTACGAATTGGTAATGCATAAAGAGATATTGCGGCCGTCACATTATGCCGTGGTGACCGTATTACTGTTGCTGTCCAATAATATAAAGTAAGGGGGAAGTTGATTGTTAGTAATGTGGATTGATAACCCCATTGCTGGCAATGTACCATGTCAGGTCGACCTCCACGCGGTTCCTCCTGGAAACCATCGTGTTAAATTCCTGGTGATTTTGCACGATG